ATACACCATGTCTGTATATTAATCTGATGGGTTGTTGTTCTTGGGACTGGAGAAGCAAACAGCTATGTCCTTCTCAAGAGGGTCATTTTCTGTTGGATCATTATAATAACTTAGGGACCAACATTCTCATGGGATGGCTCCACCCTTTGCGAGATATCTAATCCCCCCTCCCAACACCTCTCTTTTTTTTTCATCTTTGGTTTTACCTTTTCTTTATCTTGTCAATTTGAAATTTCGAATACTCAATAAAGGTAAGAAAATGAAATAATTATGAAAAGCATTTAAAATTAAGGGTGTGGTGAGTGCTATGTGCTATGCTTGGGAGGGCCTTTTAGACATGGTCCCATAATGAAAACGACATGAAATTATTGAAAGCATAGCACTTGGGATAACAAAAATGAGTGTGCTACTCCATGAAAGGGTATATCTATAAGGTATAGTCCTCTACCCTATCGTATAAAGGGCTCCACGTGGCATGGCGCCGGCAGGGATGCCCACAGCCACGTGGGGAGCTGTGGTCCAAAGGAATTGTGTTGTGACACGTGTCACAACAAGAGAGGTGACAGCCTGTTTTTGCAAGAGCATGGATGAGAGAATGACCAGTTGATTTTTTAGTGTTGTGTTAAAAGTTTGTAGGGGTCAGGTATATGCGTGTGTTTGGGTTGGGGGTGCAGCGCTACAACCTCAGTATCTGAACTCAATATTATAGGCTCTCCTGCTATTTAGTGTATATGTCTAAGTAAACACTTCTTGGAGTTTATGGATGGACCTATCATATGTTAGGTATATATAGGTCTGCATTTCTCTATGTGCAGACCTGCAAGGGGTAGTAACGAGGAACAAAATTAATCCATAGGTACTATTGACTAAACAAAGGAGAGAATTGGATATCCAAAATTGGTGTCCCTAATTTACTTGTTATGCGATAAATTTTGCCACTTTAGCAATATATGTATTGGAAAGTGATTCTGATTTTGCAAAATCATGTCCCGAGAAGTGAGAGAGTGAGAATTATTCCAAAATCTATTCCTTTTCCTCAGTTCCTATTTTTCAGGGTTCACTCAAAAATTCAAAATTTAAATATTACATAGTGATGGGGGGCAAAGGATTGAATATGGTACGTAATTGGCATCTATAGTCCCCCACTGTTCAAATTCCCCGTATCTATTGTCCCCTACTGCCTTTATATCGGTGGTTCTTGGGGTTTGCTATAGCAAACAGAAGGAAGGACTCGACTATGGCTTTTCACGATTATTGCAAAAATCCCAAAGCTTGTATGGTGGCTGGAATAAATGATTGCAGGACCGAATTCATGTGTTCTGTTGTGCAAGTGATTGTGATGTCTGTTTTTTTATTTTAAGGGATGTTAAATTTTGTTTTGAGGTTCTACATATATACTGAACGGTGGTGGACTTGTTAATGTTTAAAATGTTGGAAAAAAAAAACACACTTTATATTCCATAACATTAATGTATAATAAAAACTTATTTTTTATATAAATAAAAAAAAGTATTTTTAATTTTAAATTTGCAATCAAGAAATACAAATATTTTCTCAGACTAAACATTTCTTAGCTCTAATCACAAAAGCCTAAATTCTAGTCTTATTCTTTATTATTTCTCAATCTATTGATCCACTAACCCTACTAATTTAAGAGTTTCTCTGATAGTTATAAACATAAATAAGAATGAAAATGATCGAGTGTAATTTTATTGTTTTACTTTACGGATTTTTTTCAGTTCAGTTAAACCTTTTTAAAAGTTTAGTGAGTTGAAAGCATTTTCAAGAACATACTTTGTAACTATACTTTTTAAATAGGCTAACCAATTTTTCCATAAAAGGATAACAATTTAAACTTCTTTGGAAATCATTAAGTCCAAATCTTTAAATAGCTAACTAATATACAATTTTAAATTATTATAATAATTATTTAATTTCTTATTAATTATTGCTGTTAACTCAAATTGACTGATCTTTTAATTGAGTAAAAATATTAAATAAATTGACTTAATAAGCTTGAACCAAGTCATACACATTAAAAGTCAAAACATAAGCTCCAATGAATCACTTGGTATATCTCCCATCCATGAAGACATCTTTTAAAAGTTAAAAATCAAAGCACTACCTGAATGGAGTAAGCTTTGTTCCCATCTCACCCCCACTTCCACAACACACGTCTTTGTTTGCAATAGGAGAAGTCGAAGAAAAAGAAAGCAGAACATAATTTTTAATAATCTTTTTCCCTTTTCTGGCTGCTTGGAAAATTGGAGAAAAGAGAAACATACAACTCACACCAAAGTTCTCTTTAAACCCTTCAACTCTCCAATCTAATTAATGGTATTTTTTAATTTTTTTTATCTTTTCTAAACAACATTATTTCTTTCTTTTGCTTTTTATTTGACCAAACAAATGAAAAAAACATTAAAAGCATGTTTAATTTTATTTTAAAATTATTTTTTTATTTTTTAAAATAAAATAATTTGTATTATCATTATTTTTAAAAATAAAAAACTAATTTTAAAACAGAAATTAAACATACTCTAAATATTTATATCTTTTTATTATTATTTTTTAATCTCACATACTAAACAATGCAAAAATTTATTTATTTTCTAACAAATTTTCTCAACCTTCTTCTCAGTTACCAAACGAAGCCTAAAAGGCTCCCACAAGCCCTGTTTCTTGTGCTCTCAGTCTTATATCTGGAATGGATTATTTTTATTGGTTTTTTTTCTTTTTTTCTTTTTTTGTCGTAAGTGAAAATATATTGCACGCTTTTCTTTTTTTTTTTGTCATTGAAGGAGGAAAAAGGAGATATAAATTTTTTTAAGATCCATTATTGAAACCCTGATCATCTTGCATATTGCATGGTTTGGATATTGGCATTGCAACTCCAGCCCATCAAGGTCCAGAAACATTTGGGCCAGAGTACTGTTTAGATAGTGAGCAGGACTTATACAAGTCCCAATATTGAATCTTGAAAATTTTCACTTCTTTTTCTTCCACTCCAAATAACCCAAAAAAAAAAAAATCGAAAAGAAAAAGTATCCATGCCTCCTTAGACCATAAAACAAAAAAGAACCTATGGCTCCATTTGTTGGTTTCATTTTCCATAACTTTTTCAAAAAGCTAAATTTTAAATTTATTTATTTTAAATAATTATTACATATAACCCAAAACTTAAAAAAATTAGATTGTATATTTTTATTACTTATACATCGTTCAATTTTTTTATTCAATATTAAAAATAATAAAGTTTGATTCTTAGCAAAATATTTTTTATTCCTTTTTTATATCTACCCCCTTTCGATAAAGGAAATACTATTTTTTTATATTATAATTATTTAAAGAAAATAATATACCTTTTTTATTTCATATATCTTCTCATTTTTATAAACTCACTATCTTTTTCATTTTAATTTGTATATTTTATGAGCTTTCATATTAAATTTTTTTTATATAATTTGTATTTGAATAAATTTTTTTCTTAGTTATTTTAATCAATACTTTAAATTTTAATTAACATCAATATAATAAAACATTTTAAAAATATTAAAAAAAAATTTCTTTATTAAATTGTTTTAAACCCCTAAACTTCTCTTGATAATACAATGTTATATTTTAAAACATTAATAATAAATTGTAATTATATATATTTAAAAATAATATCATTATTATTATTATCTAAAAAATATTATAATGCTATTTTTTAAAAAAACCATACAATAAAAAAAAACAATTACAAATTCAATGTATTTGGTGCTACTTTATCTTCACTCTTATTAAGGTTCGAAGGCCATAACATTATGTGTTTTATTTTCAGGATAAAACAATCTAAGCTACGTAAGGACCCAACATGAGGGCGACTCCACGGCACTGTGATTGTGACTAGTGAGTTTACATTACCTAGCTAGAGGCCAACGAGTATAAATGATTTCAAATTCAATGGTTTCAATGTAGACCCATCTTTATCTTCGATCATTTCAATGTTATATGAACCCTTAATTGCAAATTTTGGGACTCTGGTCTGGAGATTGAGAGATGTTAGAGTATGGATCCACAAGGCGATATAGGGATGAGTGTGATTGAGCATTATTATGGTGTTGCATGCCAAATGCTGCTCAATTATACCTGTTTTCAAGAATACATAACTAGTTATTTTTCTTCTCTCCTCTCAAACTGAAAAGGTTTCAATTTTAGGATGAAGTTTAAATATAATATTGTAAATACTTGTAATATTACTTTCTAATTAAAATTAAAATTTCACTCCAGCACTTAATACAATAAAATTTTATATTATGATTTATATATACTATTGAAATAATATTTTAATTTGTATTTCACCAATGAATTAATATAAATTAAGCCTAAAACTTTTAACAGAATTAACCATATAATTTGTCAAAACATATTAAATGACTAACAAATATATATTAATATAATATTTAAATTAATTTTTTTCTTGTTTATTTTAGAGATCAGCAAGAATGTCCCTTGCTGAGTGCAAGAAACTATTTCCTTTAAAGCATGAAGATTTTAGAAGTAAATCTGGTCACTTTTAACATTTACACACAAATCCTTATAACATGTTTAAAAGATGCAATTATTTATTTATCTATTGACTTAATTATTTATTTATTATCAATTAAATTAAACATTAATAAGATATGTAAAAATTTAAAGAAAGAAATAAAAATAAATTATTGATAATTTCCCTTTTAAAACTAAACACCAAAATTTATTTTTTAATGTGTAAAAAGATGTAATAAAAAATATCTATAATTTTCTATTAAATATTATTAATACTTTTTATAAAAATATATTATTTGTCAAATTTTGATTTATACAACAATTGTAAAATATTATTGAGCTTAGTGTTATTGTGAAAAAGACTTGAAGCTTGTCCCTAAGCTAGAGTGGGAGAGGAAGAGGACCCACATGCCGAAGGGGAGAGAAGCATTGCATTGCGTTGAAATTCAGCTGCCCCTTCGATTCTCCCTATCTTCAACGCTCATATTCTGTTCCTTAACACACATTTCCATTCCCCTTTTTTCGTTTTTCTTTCTTTTCCTCTCAATCTCAAAACACAACACCTACTTTGCTTCCTATATTCATTACTCCTTTACTATGCATATTCTTCAAATTCGATTCATCAGATTCCTTTCTCTCTGCACATTCTTTATCTCTTTCTGGTCAGTTCTCACTCACACTTTTTCCTTTTTCTTTCTCTGTATGCGTGGTGGCTGTTTCTCTCTCTCTCTCTCTCTCTCTATATATATATATATATATATATGTGTGTGTGTGTGTGTGTGTGTGTGTGTGTGGGTATTCTGAAGCAATTTAAGTTGGGTGAATTATTTATCGAACAGTCTTATTGGGTATTGCAGAAGTGAAGAGATTTGAGCTAACAGTAACAGGTATGTGTGACTGCAAATTCACAGTTGTTTCTCTTTACTAACTTTGTGATTCGATTGATGCTGGTTCACAAAATTTGATTTTGAAATCTGCGAGTCTTGTAATATTTTCTTCACAAAAGGATTTTCCTTTTGAAATTAGTTTTCTGATCAGTGATATCAGTTGTGGAGAATCTTTCTTTGTCAGTATCACTCGCTTTTTAATATAGTAACTTTCCATATATATATACACACACACATAGACACACACACGTGTATGTTAGGAATATATTTTCTTACATGCTCGTGGGGAATATTTTTCAGTCAAAGGTTGGCCAACCTGAAGGTCGATAATTTTGCATGATATGGGTTGGTTTACCAAGTTGCTTAAGGGCTCTGATCATAAAGTTTCACGAGGGCAATACCATGGCAAATATGGAGAGGATAGAATTTGGGATAATCATCGGAGTTCAATGGTAATTTAAGGTTTTCCTTTTCTAGTAAGAAATTGAAATCATCGTCTTAAGTCACAATTTATCATGTCATTAAGCTAGCCTTTTATCTGACTTTAGCTTTGACTGTTCCATGAGTCTAACACGGTACTAGTTCCCGTGATAGTTAAGGAGATAAACCTGGATTTGTAATAGTTGCAAACTGAATGCAGGATGACTTGACGGATATTGAGAGAGAAGACATTGACTGTGCAATTGCACTCTCTCTGTCCGAGGAGGATCACAAAGGGAAAAAAGTTATTGGTAAGATTATGCTTTTGCACTTTCGTAGTTAAAATTCAGTTGCTGGTTAATTTGGGTCAGATTTAATGCCACTATGATTCTGCATACTGCATATTATGAGGCACTTAAGTGGAAATTCTGAATCAACCAAAATGCTAATTGATGTATTGCAAGCTCTTACATACCTTGGGTTCTCATTTCCTTTCTTTTTATGCCTATCCCTAGGTCGTCTTCATTTATGTTTAATTGTGCTTAATTGATCAAAGTTATGATACAACCAGTTGAGTCTCTCATTTATATCCTAATTAGTGTGGTGCTGAAAAATGTTTGAATTATTACAAATAGCTTCTTTATTTCTTTAAAATATAATTTTAATATGTATATAAAAAATATGGGGATATTTTGATTATGGTGTTTCACTTAAATGGCAACTCAAAGTGCTTAATGCATTTTTCTAATAGTTAGAATCGATTGAAGAAATCCTGAAGTTCCAACTGTCAAATATATGTTCAGAAATGGATGTCGTATTTAATTATTCCCACACCAAAGTATTGAAAAAGGTCTCATGTATTTTGTGTCATGATGTGTCAGAGGACAACTCTCAATCTGAAGATGAGGAACTTTGTAAAATTGATGAGGAAGATGAACATCTTGCTGAAGTTCAACCAGAGGAAAATGAAAATCTTGGTAAAGTTCAAGTAGATGAAGATGAATATCTCGCAAAAATTCAACAAGATGAAGATGAACGTCTTGCTAAAGCTCAACTTGAGGAAGATGAGCAACTTGCTAGGGCAATTCAAGAAAGTTTGAACGTTGGTTCTCCTCCTCAATATGATAATGACTCTACATTTCTACCTCAGCTCTTTCCCCCTGGATACAGGTAACTGTGAGTATGATCACATCTTTATTTGTATGACAAGTCCAAATACTGTTAATGGAAACTGCTGAAGTTCACTAGTTCAAAATGACAGAAAAAAAAGCTTGTGCCAAAGATAAAAGGCAAAAAATTTCCAAACAGAATATGTTTTGAAACTTCAATTTTAAGTATTGCTGGATTATGCTTAGCAAACCTAAAAATTGTACATAAGTGGGCTTAAGTTTGTCAATGTTGCCCCTTTGTTTCTCTTACCCCCTTTTTCTTCATTTCTTTCATGGATGACATTTTGAATCCTTTTATCATCTAAAATTTGGAATTGTAAGTGGAAAATCATGCTGCTGACCATTTTTCTTTTTTCAACATTTACACTCAGTTCAGCGAAGCATGAAAAAAATGTTGTCATCATGAAAGTGGATTATTATATGTGACCTTTGTTAATAAAATCTAAATAGAGATACAAAGCAATGCTTGAACTAGTGTTATAAAGATATTTCTTAACTTATTTTTCGTGGTTTCATGAATCTTTGTTAATTATTAAAATTTAAAAACAAAGATTTAACCTTGTTCTGTAAAATCTGCCTGCAGAATCTGTGCTGGATGCAAGACTGAGATTGGCCAAGGAAGATTTTTAAGTTGCATGGGAGCTGTCTGGCATCCAGAATGCTTCTGCTGTCATGCATGCCATCTGCCAATCACTGATCATGAGGTTAGAGTCTTGTTTTCTTTTGTGCTTGCTTCACAAAATTGAACTTAATTGAAATAAGTTGAAGCATTATTTTGGGTGAAAAGGCAAGTTGAAAACACTTTTCTGAACTTCATAAGTCAAGGTCTTCAATTTTTTCTCTCTTTTTGATCAATCTTCATTTGATTGTGAATAATGCTTGATTCTTTCTTTTACAGTTTTCCATGTCTAGCAATCGCCCTTACCATAAATCATGCTACAGAGAGAAGCATCACCCAAGATGTGATGTCTGCAAGAACTATGTAAGCTTTGCAGTTGTTTTTCACTTATTGTTGTCTATTAGTCAATTCTGTGTGCTTGTTTTCTATCAAAGGGTTCTCTCAATTTTGACATGCTTTAGAAATTCCACTACATTGTTCAATATACATATACATGGAAGACTGTTGATATTGAGGTGTTATGGCTTCTCCGAAAGATCAGAATTCAGAATTATACTTGAGGATGTTCTACTGAACTTAGTAGTCGTTTGGCCTTTATAACAAATCATGGGCTAGTTACCTGACTAAATTAACATCATATGAGCCCTTTGTGGAGCTGATATTAGTTTGATTTATCTTTTGGGTCAGACAATATAAGTATGATTGGTTCTTAAATTTTTATATTAGGCTTGGATCCCTGCATGAGTCAGATGTAGTTGTGTTTTACTTCTTAATTTCTATAACTGGCTTAGTACTTTGCAGGAAATCGTGGATCAGCTCCTTTAAGTTACAATCATTGCGTTTTTTGCGTTTTTATTATTCAAACCTATTAGAGATTTAAGATTTTCTAATTATTCTAGTTTTCTATCAAAATATGCTGTCAAGAAATTGGATAAAATTAGCCCTATTTAGAGAAACATGACAAGATTTTTTGTTTAATAGCTCGATTACCCTCAAATCTTTATTGTAATGATTCACAGTCATACTTGATGAAGTCATTTGCAATCATCCGATATAATTAATTGAAATCCTCAGATTTCAAGGAAATTGAAAACTAATCCTCAATTTTCTAATCTACATCAAACTTTTTACTTGTATAATGCTACAGTTTTAGGTGGGCCTATAACATTTTCTGTAAATATTTGAAATGTTGATTAAGTTTTGCTAGCAGTGTTTTATTAATGGAGTTACATTCTTTCCATTGCCTTCAAGCACTAAAAGTAGGAGTGCAACAAAAAAGGTGTTGGGAAAGCTCCTTAATCAATAGGGGTTAAATTGTTATACTCATTTTTCTTCCTTAAAATAATAATTAACTAATTTTGCCTATTTTTTAAAAATTGCTAGTATGTATTGTTCACTAAACTAGAATTATTGATTCTTTCTTTGCAGATCCCAACTAATTCAGCTGGCCTCATTGAGTATAGAGCTCATCCTTTTTGGCTACAAAAATACTGCCCATCACATGAGCTTGATGGCACTCCTCGTTGCTGTAGCTGTGAAAGAATGGAGGTCAGTTATTCATCTCTCAGAACATTTCATCCTGTTATTAACAAGTAGGAGCTACTGATGGATCCCATTCCCCACCTACTTTTTTTTTTTTTTGGTCTTTTCAATCAGTGCAGCCAAGGGATGCAAAATATCTTTTGCTTGATGATGGTCGAAAGTTATGTTTAGAGTGCCTAGACTCATCAATTATGGATACTCATGAATGTCAACCTCTCTACCTTGAAATACAAGAATTTTATGAAGGTTTAAATATGAAATTGGAGCAGCAAATTCCTATGCTTTTGGTTGAGAGGCAAGCTCTGAATGAGGCCATGGAGGGGGAAAAGCATGTAAGAGTTAGTGTGTTGAACTTTCCATTTTGTTCATGAAATGTTATTTCTATTCTTTCTTTCCTGTCTTTCTGATGACTTTAAGATGTTCTTTTGTTTTTCACTATTGAATGTAGGGTCATCACCACTTACCTGAAACTAGAGGACTCTGCTTGTCAGAAGAGCAAACTGTCACCACTGTAGGGGTTTCTTGCAAATTTGAGTCTTTATAATTCTGCTATAGAAGATCTGTGTATCAAATAGTGATTTTATTACTTTTATATATTTTATGTTGTACTAGATTTTAAGGAGACCCAGGATAGGGGCAGGCTACCGAGTCACAGACATGATAACGGAACCTTATAGGCTGGTCCGGCATTGTGAAGTGACAGCCATTCTTGTTTTGTATGGCCTTCCTAGGTATCCTTCCTATACAATCTACTTTCATAATCTGACTGTGCTTGCATATGATAGTCACTATACATAATTCAAGAATTTTATGTTTATAGGTTGTTGACTGGATCAATCCTAGCTCATGAGATGATGCATGCATGGCTTAGGCTTAAAGGTATTCAGCTATTAATTAATGCATAAAATTTATATTTTGTTTCATGGTGAAAAGTTGGAACAAAATTTCTGGGTTTTTAACAGGTTATCCCAACCTGAGTCCAGAAGTTGAAGAAGGAATCTGCCAAGTCTTGGCCCATATGTGGTTAGATTCAGAGCTTTATTCTGGATCTGGGAATGATGGTGCATCATCGTCATCTTCATCTTCATCATCACCTTCGTCCTCTTCTACATCATCAAAGAAGGGTAAACGATCTGACTTTGAGAAAAAACTTGGTGAGTTTTTTAAACACCAGATTGAGTCAGATGCCTCCTCAGCTTATGGAGATGGATTTAGACAGGGTAACCGAGCAATGCTTAAGTATGGACTTAAAAGGACCCTTGATCATATCCATATGACTGGAAGTTTTCCATATTGAGAATTTGACAGATGATATAATTTTCTCACGTATACATTGACCAATACCTCAGCTTGGTCATAAATTATATAGTTCAAAGATTCCAAGATCATATAGTTTAACACTAGACAAAATAAGGAATAAAATTGCTCCTCTTAGCGTGCAATTACTTAATTTCACGTTTTATGTATCATTAAATAGAATTTAGAAGAGCTGAAGCAATGAAAGTATAGATTTAATTTTGTACTTGTGTTTTGCTGACATTTGTTTTCTCATTTGGAAATTTTACTTGCTCCCTTCTTTCATGGTTTTATGTTTCCGTGGATGATTGATGTTGTTGTTGTCTTAATGATTGACGAGGTCTTGGTATCTTAATAATAGCTTTAGGATGGGTAAGTTGCCTCTTGCAGATAAATCATCAATGGGCTAGCTTTCTCTCCTGATTATCTAAATTATTCTGGTTTTATGGAAAGTTGTTTTTAACATTAAAACGACTTGATTATTCAAGTGTTGCATGTGTATTTGTGAAATCATATTTGTTTTCTTTTTATTTTCCCGAAAGACAACAGGGTTACCCTCACAGAACCATGTAAACACCAAAAGGAACTTCAAGACTATGAGTCAGTAATTACAAAAATAAAAAAACTATTGTATTTGAATTTTATGTACATCGTTAATTTTTATGTGCATATTCTAACAGTGTAAGCATCTACAATAAACTGTCTTATTTTTTAAAATTTTTCTTTATCACATTTCATTTGTTTTAAAATTATGTACACACCCAACAGTAAGTCTTTCAAGAACTGGCATGATGCAATCTTGAAAGAGTATATCGCAGGCTTCTTGAAAAAGAACTTATTAAACTCAATGCGGATGGTAGAGGTGAAAGAGTTGAATGGTCTTTGGGAATTGTTGGAAATGTTACCTGCCATGCGCTATGGAGGGAAATTGGATGAGTGCACCTTTCTATATAAGATCATCCTGAAAACCCAATTTCTATTTTTTTTTAGAAAATGACCTTGATTTACTCCAGTGTCCTTTTAAGTATTTATTTACAATTTTTAGGGGAAATAATTGCTCAAGAGTTTTCTCTCTTCAATAATGGTCTATTTAAGTCTGCCCATGCAGATCTTATCATGATATTACCACATCAGCCTAACTACAAATCTATTCATTAGAGTATACTTTTGGATCGCACAAGATTACTTGAAAAACTTGACTTGTATGAAGCTATAAAGCACGTATAGGGTAACTATTATAATGATTTTCTTTTACCCATTTCAAACTCATCCATTTTCTTTGATCCTTTAGCAGTTTATTTCGGCTTTTTTATTTAAATAATATTTTTTTAAAAACAATTTCTTAAAATAGGTATATTTTAAAATTAATTTCTTATTTAATGTTTTTTTTTTCAACTCAACAGCAGTATCGTATCTACATAGACAATAGTAAATTTTTATTATTATTTTAATAAAGTATCATTTCAATATTACGGATATTACACTAAAAATTAACACTTATTAAAATCGCATGAGTATCAGATAAAATAAAACAATATATTTTTATTATTATTTTAATACATTATCATCGTTCAACATTCGATATTCATATTTTTTTAATTAATTTTAATATTATTGTTACTTAATTTTTATTTTTATTTTTTAAAATTTTATCACCTCAAAACTTCCGATATTCATATTTTTTTTATGGTTGATGTTCATGGTGTTAACGAATAGCTGCATCCATTGTCGTTACAAAATCGCATGCAAAATTTGCGATTCCTCTAGCCTATTGGATTAGACATATCATGATGCATTTGGAATAGCACCTAAATGTGGATTCATCTGGGTCATACATGGATCTTCCCTGCGACGCAGCTGCACCACACATCACACTTCATACATGGATATATTTAATTATTTTTCTTTCCCTTCGTATGCATATTGATTTCTTAATAGTCTAAACACAGGATGCATAATATCAGTGTTTGCTGTCATTCTTTTATTAATTTAATTAATCAATAAAAATATTTTATATAAAATTATTTAATAATAATAATAATAATTTTAAAGTCACAGTAGACTCTTTCGTAATAAAAAAATTATGCTTTTAATGAATTATTAAAAAAATACATTTTGAACTGTTGTGCAGCTTTGAAGTGTGGTATTTTATGAATATGTATTTTAAAGTACACTCCTTTAATATTTTACTAATATTATAATGCTGATTTTGTAAATTAATTAATTTTTTCAAAAATTTTAAAATCAAATAATTACAAAAGTATGTAAAGAATATATTACTAATTTTTATTATCTTTTTCTTCAAAATATTTATTTATTCATCTTTCCTAAAATGAGTAGATTTTATTGATGAATATTTTAATAATAGGAGTTATATTTATATATTTTTTATTTTTTACCTTATTTGACTTTTCATCTATTTTTTTACATTATATTTTTTTTGTCTTTTCACCTTTTTTTTATCATCTTATACATTTTAAATATTAAGTGTACAGCAGACAATAAATATTCTTCAAGCTTAAAAAGTTAGCATGTGTACAGTGATATACTATTTTTGTGTTTAACTTCCGCAATTAATTTTTCCTTCACATAGCTGTGTGTCTAGTGGAAAAATTGCTGGCTACTCCTTTCATGGGAATAATCTCTCATTGTGATACAATTGCAGCATACATCATATTTTAGTATTATATATTACTAGTGGCAAATTAAGTATAAGAAGTTTTGAGGCGATAGAATTTTAAAATAATAAAAAAAAATATTAATTAATTTGTGACGATAATATTAAAATTGATTAAAAAAATGTGAGTATCGAAACGATAATATATTAAAATAATAATAAAAATATATTATCGTTTCATCTTGTCCGATACTCATGCGATTTTGACGTGTTAATTTTTGGTATAGTGTCGGTAATATTGAAACGATACTCTATTAAAATAATAATAAAAATTTATTATCGTATATGTATGTGTAATACTGCTATTGAGTTGGTAAAAAAAAAATACCAAATAAATAATTAGTTTTAAAATATATCTATTTTAAGAAATTGTTTTAAAAAAAGCATTATTTAAATAAAAAAGTCGTTTATTTCATATATCCAACTCCTGGCATAAATAAAAAATTTGGAACACGTGTGTTTTGGGTGAGTGCATCCATTTGATAAGTAATATAGGAATATAAAAGAATCTAATATGTTGTTCCTTGAAGAGAATTGAAAAGTACTAGTTTGACCAATTATTGACTACATATGCAAAAAATAGAGAGCGTGATTTGAAAAAAAAAAAACAAAGGGAGACAAAAAAGGCAACTAAAAATCTATTTATGAATGGGTTGATACTGTCTTATTTTGCCTATCACTTCCTTAGATACTCCCCAATTTCTTTTATAACTTTATACTTTATCAATTCACAATTACTTGCTAAAATGTTATCAATACATAAAAGATTGTATAATATTAATATCTCTTTTTCTAATATGAATCCTCCTCCCAAATAGTCATACAATGTGTTAACAAAGGTATAAAGATTCAATACACCTGTTAATTTAATAATTGATTAAAAAAAATTCCACGAGCTTGATATATTAAATTTCTAAATTTAATTTATCTCATAAATAAACATGTTATTTTTTTAACCACTAATTAACAACAAACTATCCCTTTAAATATTTAACGTAATTGTATGTAACTAAAACTCAAATTAAAAAGTCACATTAAATTTGAACAATTATCTATTAGTTGATTCACGTGCTTAATAATAATAAATATATTAATTTAATACAATAGGGTAGCTAATTAAATGATTAATTATATAAAGAATGGTTAATCCTCATAAAAATAAGTCCAATTAGACACATTTTGTAAAAGTATAATATAATATTAAAATTAGAAAAATTTTAAAAGTAAAACATAGGATCACCGTAATTTAAGTTACTAATTAAGTCATACTAGTCTTAAAAAAATTATAATAAAAAATATTTTTGTCAAAATAAAATTATAAATTGAATTAATAATCACTTGACATATATTTTCTTTAGAGTTGTTAAACTACTCTTTGTATTTTAAATTTATCCTTAATAAAATGTTGATGTTTTAAAAAAAAAAATAGATAAATTTTTAAAAATAAAACATGGAATAAAATGTTTGAATTAACTGTTAGTTTTAATATGATATATCAAATTCAAATTAATAAATTTTAAATTTTAAAATTTGAAGAATCTTGATATTAATAATTCCTTACTTTGAGAGATTCACTAACTTTAAGTATCAATGTTTTAAAAATACAATTAAAATTAAAATGTGCTTGCGAGTTTACTTTCATATTAATTAAGTGAAATGAAATAGAAGAGAATATAATTGAGTAAAATAAAAATATCACCCTACTATTTGAATTCTTTATAAATAATATTGATTTCATTAAATACTTCTAAATTATATAAAACTGGACGAAGTTTACTTCATTACCATTCCATTTCATTAACATTTTATAGAACTTTAAATAATAACCTTTTTATTTTATTTGTTACTGATAATCCAAATATAGTATAATTTAAAAATGGTCATGTCATGAATTAAGAAGAATACATAAAAAAAAAAAAAGACTGCACTTTTGAAAATAATGACTTAAATTTAGTAGCAGTTGATTTAAAAATAAAATCATATATATATATATATATATATATATATATATATATATATATATATATATTTAAATAAGAAATAATCAAACGGAATAACAGATTTCATCTTTTTCAATCAACAAATGAGTGAGATTCAACAGTTACAATCATATACCTTAAATTTTAAATATTATAGTTTATTGTAACGTTCGGATATTATTTAGTTAATTTTTTAAATAAATAAATTTAAAATATATTATATGTTTATTTTTAAATTTTAAAAATATATTATAATTATTATTAATAAATATTTATTATATTAAATAAAATTTCAAAAAATTATTTAAAAATACTTTGCTCAGTAATATTTTTTAAAACATTCTTATTCAAGAATCAAGACTCATAATTAATATATAAAAATTGATAAAAAAAAATTAAAAATTTTATTTAGTATGTTTTATTTTATAAACTCTACAAAAAAATAAAAATAAAAATTTAGAGCATGTATTCCTAACATTCTTCAATATTACTACAAAAATACTTACACAGATTTACTAGGATGAAATATTTCACGATCAATCAAACTACAGAATTTCAAAAATCAAGCGTTGCCAATGCGTGTACTCTTGAAGTCGTTGTAGAGCTTTCACTGAATTGAGGACGAT